GGCTGGACTCAGATGGATCCAGGCTGGACTCAGATGGACCCAGGATGGACTCAGATGGATCCAGGCTGGACTCAGATGGACCCAGGCTGGACTCAGATGGATCCAGGCTGGACTCAGATGGACCCAGGCTGGACTCAGATGGATCCAGGCTGGACTCAGATGGACCCAAGCTGGACTCAGATGGACCCAGGCTGGACTCAGATAGCTCTAGGCTGGACTCAGATGGACCCAGGCTGGACTCAGATAGCTCTAGGCTGGACTCAGATGGACCCAGGCTGGACTCAGATGGACCCAGGCTGGACTCAGATGGACCCAGGCTGGACTCAGATGGATCCAGGCTGGACTCAGATGGACCCAGGCTGGACTCAGATGGACCCAGCCTGGCCTCAGATGGACGCAGGCTGGACTCAGATGGATCCAGGCTGGACTCAGATGGACCCAGGCTGGACTTAGATGGACCCAGGCTGGACTCAGATAGATCCAGGCTGGACTTAGATGGACCCAGGCTGGACTCAGATGGATCCAGGCTGGACTCAGATGGACCCAGGCTGGACTTAGATGGACGTGGGAGCGGACCTGGTCTCGGAGGATCCGCGGTTTGAACAAATATGATGTAAGTTACATGATTTGTGTGTTTAAACTTGGATTATCAGACTAGATTATGTGTCACGGATTGAGATTGTTAATTTCTATCAACAGAAAGAGATTTTGTTTACCAATCTGAGAACAAAACGGTTGGTTTTGTTGCTGTATCTTTTACTGAGAGCTGGATGTTTCTCCATTGACTCTAAATGACAGAGGCCAAAATGTGAAAACGAGGGATAGAACTGAACCGTGTTGAGAGTAAGGAACGGTTTGTGGCTTTTAAGTTATAGGTCCAGCTTTAACATCTCATTGTCCACTGCCAAAAGTGATGAAATATGTTTTTTATCTTAATCGGACACATTCTGACTGTGGTAAAACAAGATTCTCCGATGGGATAAAGATATTGAGTTTTATTTCAAGAACTGTTGCTTTATTTTCTCATTCCAAGGGAGACATTTCTGTATCTTTTTAAAACAAGATCATTTTGCTTTGTCCCGTTGGAGAATCTGGTTTTAAGGCTCAGTCAGAATGTCCATGGTCATTTCCTACATGTACGTCTGGTCTTACCATGTGTAAACTCTGGTCCATGATCATTTCCTACATGTACGTCTGGTCTTACCATGTGTAAACTCTGGTCCATGGTCATTTCCTACATGTACGTCTGGTCTTACCATGTGTAAACTCTGGTCCATGGTCATTTCCTACATGTACATCTGGTCTTACCATGTGTAAACTCTGGTCCATGGTCATTTCCTACATGTACGTCTGGTCTTACCATGTGTAAACTCTGGTCCATGATCATCTCCTACATGTACGTCTGGTCTTACCATGTGTAAACTCTGGTCCATGATCATTTCCTACATGTACGTCTGGTCTTACCATGTGTAAACTCTGGTCCATGGTCATTTCCTACATGTACGTCCGGTCTTACCATGTGTAAACTCTGGTCCATGATCATTTCCTACATGTACGTCTGGTCTTACCATGTGTAAACTCTGGTCCATGATCATTTCCTACATGTACGTCTGGTCTTACCATGTGTAAACTCTGGTCCATGATCATCTCCTACATGTACGTCTGGTCTTACCATGTGTAAACTCTGGTCCATGATCATTTCCTACATGTACGTCTGGTCTTACCATGTGTAAACTCTGGTCCATGGTCATTTCCTACATGTACGTCTGGTCTTACCATGTGTAAACTCTGGTCCATGGTCATTTCCTACATGTACGTCTGGTCTTACCATGTGTAAACTCTGGTCCATGATCATTTCCTACATGTACGTCTGGTCTTACCATGTGTAAACTCTGGTCCATGGTCATCTCCTACATGTACGTCTGGTCTTACCATGTGTAAACTCTGGTCCATGGTCATTTCCTACATGTACGTCCGGTCTTACCATGTGTAAACTCTGGTCCATGATCATTTCCTACATGTACGTCTGGTCTTACCATGTGTAAACTCTGGTCCATGGTCATTTCCTACATGTACGTCTGGTCTTACCATGTGTAAACTCTGGTCCATGATCATTTCCTACATGTACGTCTGGTCTTACCATGTGTAAACTCTGGTCCATGGTCATTTCCTACATGTACGTCTGGTCTTACCATGTGTAAACTCTGGTCCATGGTCATCTCCTACATGTACGTCTGGTCTTACCATGTGTAAACTCTGGTCCATGATCATTTCCTACATGTACGTCTGGTCTTACCATGTGTAAACTCTGGTCCATGGTCATTTCCTACATGTACGTCTGGTCTTACCATGTGTAAACTCTGGTCCATGGTCATCTCCTACATGTACGTCTGGTCTTACCATGTGTAAACTCTGGTCCATGGTCATTTCCTACATGTACGTCTGGTCTTACCATGTGTAAACTCTGGTCCATGGTCATTTCCTACATGTACGTCTGATCTTACCATGTGTAAACTCTGGTCCATGATCATTTCCTACATGTACGTCTAGTCTTACCATGTGTAAACTCTGGTCCATGGTCATTTCCTACATGTACGTCTGGTCTTACCATGTGTAAACTCTGGTCCATGGTCATTTCCTACATGTACGTCTGGTCTTACCATGTGTAAACTCTGGTCCATGGTCATCTCCTACATGTACGTCTGGTCTTACCATGTGTAAACTCTGGTCCATGATCATTTCCTACATGTACGTCTGGTCTTACCATGTGTAAACTCTGGTCCATGGTCATCTCCTACATGTACGTCTGGTCTTACCATGTGTAAACTCTGGTCCATGGTCATTTCCTACATGTACGTCTGATCTTACCATGTGTAAACTCTGGTCCATGATCATTTCCTACATGTACGTCTAGTCTTACCATGTGTAAACTCTGGTCCATGGTCATTTCCTACATGTACGTCTGGTCTTACCATGTGTAAACTCTGGTCCATGGTCATTTCCTACATGTACGTCTGGTCTTACCATGTGTAAACTCTGGTCCATGATCATTTCCTACATGTACGTCTGGGTCTGATCCTAGTGGCTGCAGTTTCCTCGGTTGAATCCCCTTCGACCAATCAGAGAGCGGGGGAGGCGGGTGTTGTAGGTCGGTGTCGGTGACGTCAGAGTTTGTCTGAATTTGCTGGTTGTAGTCTGGTCCATGATCATCTCCTACATGTACGTCTGGTCTTACCATGTGTAAACTCTGGTCCATGATCATCTCCTACATGTACGTCTGGTCTTACCATGTGTAAACTCTGGTCCATGGTCATTTCCTAACATGTACGTCTGGTCTTACCATGTGTAAACTCTGGTCCATGGTCAGTTTCCTACATGTACGTCTGGTCTTACCATGTGTAAACTCTGTCCATGGTCATCTCCTACATGTACGTCTGGGTCTGATCCTAGTGGCTGCAGTTTCCTCGGTTTTGAATCTCCTTCGACCAATCAGGGAGCGGGGGAGGCGGGTGTTTGTGTTGGTGACATCATGAGTTTGCGCTGCAAGTGCTGGTTGTAGTTTTGGCAGAGAATGCAATAGTAAAATCACCTGTTCTGGTTCTCCCAATATCAAGAAACTTGTAGGCGGAGCAAAAAGGAATGTTAAGCAAGATGTCACTGCTGCAAACGATGTTGTGGCTCGGCTAAAGCTAGGCTAAAATGCTAAAGCTAGGCTAAATGCTAAATTCCTCACTCACTCGGGCTCATTACATACGTCACAGTAAACTCAGATCGTTTCAATCTGCAAAAGGAGTTAGCCCCTCCCACCTGTTCACGGAGTCATTGGAGCAGATCCAGACCTCAGATGGTGTGGGGAACCCTGGATATTGCTTATAACTCCTCTTTTGCATCTTAATAATATTGTTATTGCTTGTATTTGTTTTCATTATATAAATATTTTTCAGTTAAATCATGTTCTAGATGTTTCTAAACAAAATGAGTGCATAGCTGAACCAAAATGTAAAAAGGTTTGTTATTGCACACTGATAGACCAATTATTATTACTGTTTTCATTTGTGTTCTTGGTTCAATGTTTAGAAAAAAGAAAAAGTTTTCTTGAAAGAAATAGCTTTTAATGGTTGTATTTCATGCCATAATAACCTAAACCTAAACCTCCTACTATTAATGTTTGTAAAGATTGAAAATCAAGTACCGGCTGCAATACTCCCATTTGGGAAACACATTCATGTTCTCAGAGTTAAACTCTGGGTTCTGTTTTGAAATCTATGTTTTACCGTCGCAATTGTCTCTCTGTCGGTTTGACTTATAATTTAGTTCTATTTTACAAATTGTTGGTGCTCCGCTGTGTCTCCAAACGATTCTCCACTTCACCTGGAACATGGACTTCCCCTTTAAGGACCACACACAACTTCATCTGCAACATGTTCAACACACAACAGAAGACTGCAGCTACACAATTATGCAATACAAACACACATAACAACATTTATATTCAGTGTGTGTATGTATCTAGTGTGTGTATCTAGTGTGTGTATGTGTGTGTATCTAGTGTGTGTATCTAGTGTGTGTATGTGTTGTGTGTATGTGTGTGTATCTAGTGTGTATATTTAGTGTGTGTGTGTGTGTATCTAGTGTGTGTATCTATTGTGTGTATGTGTGTGTATCTAGTGTGTGTATCTATTGTGTGTATGTGTGTGTATCTAGTGTGTGTATCTAGTGTGTGTATCTAGTGTGTGTATCTAGTTCCTCTGGAAACAGCAGGTGCCACAGTGGGGCAGCTGCGGCTGTAAAGTGCCAGACTGTGGTTGTGTCCTTAGGCAAGACACTTCCCCCACATTAGAATGAGTCTGGTGTGTGTGTGAATGGTTGGTGGTGGTGGGAGGGGCTTCTGTCAGTGTGCCCCAGGGCAGCTGTGGCTACAGTAGTAGTTTATCACCACCGTGTTTGGAGAGACAGAATAATGACATGAGAAGCACTGTATAAAAGTCTGAATATTATTATTACAAGTTTATCCCAAACAGCTCAAACAGCTCACACAGCTCTAACAGCTCTAACAGCTCACACAGCTCACACAGCTCTAACAGCTCTAACAGCTCACACAGCTCACACAGCTCTAACAGCTCACACAGCTCACACAGCTCACACAGCTCTAACAGCTCACACAGCTCTAACAGCTCACACAGCTCTAACAGCTCTAACAGTTCACACAGCTCTAACAGCTCTAACAGCTCACACAGCTCTAACAGCTCACACAGCTCTAACAGCTCTAACAGTTCACACAGCTCTAACAGCTCTAACAGCTCACACAGCTCTAACAGCTCTAACAGCTCACACAGCTCTAACAGCTCTAACAGCTCACACAGCTCTAACAGCTCTAACAGCTCACACAGCTCTAACAGCTCTAACAGCTCACACAGCTCTAACAGCTCTAACAGCTCTAACAGCTCACACAGCTCTAACAGCTCTAACAGCTCTAACAGCTCTAACAGCTCTAACAGCTCACACAGCTCTAACAGCTCTAACAGCTCACACAGCTCTAACAGCTCACACAGCTCTAACAGCTCTAACAGCTCTAACAGCTCTAACAGCTCTAACAGCTCACACAGCTCTAACAGCTCTAACAGCTCACACAGCTCTAACAGCTCACACAGCTCTAACAGCTCTAACAGCTCACACAGCTCTAACAGCTCTAACAGCTCACACAGCTCTAACAGCTCTAACAGCTCTAACAGCTCTAACAGCTCACACAGCTCACACAGCTCTAACAGCTCTAACAGCTCACACAGCTCACACAGCTCTAACAGCTCACACAGCTCACACAGCTCACACAGCTCTAACAGCTCACACAGCTCTAACAGCTCACACAGCTCTAACAGCTCTAACAGTTCACACAGCTCTAACAGCTCTAACAGCTCACACAGCTCTAACAGCTCTAACAGCTCACACAGCTCTAACAGCTCTAACAGCTCACACAGCTCTAACAGCTCTAACAGCTCACACAGCTCTAACAGCTCTAACAGCTCACACAGCTCTAACAGCTCTAACAGCTCTAACAGCTCACACAGCTCTAACAGCTCTAACAGCTCTAACAGCTCTAACAGCTCTAACAGCTCACACAGCTCTAACAGCTCTAACAGCTCACACAGCTCTAACAGCTCACACAGCTCTAACAGCTCTAACAGCTCTAACAGCTCTAACAGCTCTAACAGCTCACACAGCTCTAACAGCTCTAACAGCTCACACAGCTCTAACAGCTCACACAGCTCTAACAGCTCTAACAGCTCACACAGCTCTAACAGCTCTAACAGCTCACACAGCTCTAACAGCTCTAACAGCTCTAACAGCTCTAACAGCTCTAACAGCTCACACAGTTTCCATCTCTCTCCATCATGAAAGTGCCGCCTTCAGAATGATGCATGGTTTCATTATTCTGTTTGCCTTTCCCGATTACAGAGAATATTACACTACACATTTCAAACCCAGATAATGCTTTATTAAAAGCTGTATGTGTACAGTATGTGTACAGTATGTGTACAGTATGTGTACAGTATGTGAAGTATGTGTACAGTATGTGTACAGTATGTGAAGTATGTGTACAGTATGTGTACAGTATGTGTACAGTATGTGTACAGTATGTGAAGTATGTGTACAGTATGTGTACAGTATGTGAAGTATGTGTACAGTATGTGTACAGTATGTGAAGTATGTGTACAGTATGTGTACAGTATGTGTACAGTATGTGTACAGTATGTGAAGTATATGTACAGTATGTGTACAGTATGTGAAGTATGTGTACAGTATGTGTACAGTATGTGAAGTATGTGTACAGTATGTGTACAGTATGTGTACAGTATGTGTACAGTATGTGAAGTATGTGTACAGTATGTGTACAGTATATGTACAGTATGTGTACAGTATATGTACAGTATGTGTACAGTATGTGTACAGTATATGTACAGTATGTGTACAGTATATGTACAGTATATGTACAGTATGTGTACAGTATGTGTACAGTATATGTACAGTATGTGTACAGTATATGTACAGTATATGTACAGTATGTGTACAGTATGTGAAGTATGTGTACAGTATGTGTACAGTATGTGACCGGGGGGTGGGAGAGGAGGAGCCTGATTCTGTTTTTAATTGTTTTGAGTATCCCAACATTATAATTGAAAACGAACCTTCTAATCCAGAGGTCTTTCTGCCTGAGGGAGAAAGAATGAATTGGATGCATCATAATGAAGTTTTTGCATGTTCTTCTTTTGTTGTCAAAGCCTGAGACGACAGATTGCCAGATTGTGGATCCTGTATGAGACGTTTATGTAGATAGTTGTTTAAGTTTGGTCTGTAGCATCAGACTGATGAGCCCATGTGGACGGGGAACTTTGGGCATGACACTTAAATAACATTAACTTTTTATTTAGTCTTTTGGCAGAGTTGGGGGCAGTCTGGGGGTCTCTGCTGAGATGGCTTTCTCAGACCCAGCCTCGGATAAACAGAAGAAAATGGAGAAAAAGGGAGAATGAGCAAGAAAACGGTCATTGTATTGAATTAAATTAATTAAATGTAAAGAGACTGAAATAAATGTGATTGAGGAAGTTCTCTTTTGAAAATAAAATTGGCAATCCTTTATTATTTCCTACATTGTAATGCATTAAAGTGCCATGAAGCTGTTTTGTGTTGGCCATTGTGGCGATTATATAATAATAATAATAATAATAATAATAATACAGTATGATGTTAAAAGTGACGCCTTCTTATACGTTCACATTGTTCACCACTGAACCTTAGACTGTTTTCTGAATAATTCAAACCCATCGTTAGCGTGTTGGGGACCTGCGGATGTAGCTCGTGGCTATTGTCGCTGGCGCTGACGTGACCAGAGGGAAACGCTCTCGCCCTGATCCAAACCCTGCACTTTTGGAATAATGTTGTGTATCTTTGTCACACTGGCAAACACCCAAACCAAACTTCTGCCAGACATTTCAGAAATAGCTGTAGCTCTGCATTTCGCTGATTCTGCATTTGCAATATTGTCTCCAAGAAAGAAAACATGGGAGATATGCCATGGACGTAGTGAGCGGCCGGTCCTGGCTGAGTTTGTGCGATGACTAATGTCTGTGAATGGATTTGTTTGCACTGGCTACGAGGCAAAAGCAAGAATTAATTTATCCGACAAAATCTACGGCGGAATGGGACAACAAAGGAATCTGCACTCCTGACTTCATAAGGACCCTGGCTTGTTTAGCGTTCAGCCATGAATGGGCTGTTGCAACGATCACGGAAAGAACTCGGAGGAATATGAATATGCAAATGAGTACAGCTGACAGCCTTGAAGTTGAATGGAATAATTTTGTATAATCGGATAAAGTACATGTTGTATTTTTATTTTCCTGCAGCAATAACGGATGTTAGAACTAGGAAGAATAAAATCCTACTGTAAAGGCACCACAATGTTATTTTAGAGATTCAGCGGCCACTGGTCCACGTCCTTAGGTTCTGTAGCTAGCTTAGGTCCTGTAGCTAGCTTAGGTCCTGTAGCTAGCTTAGGTCCTGTAGCTAGCTTAGGTCCTGTAGCTAGCTTAGGTCCTGTAGCTAGCTTAGGTCCTGTAGCTAGCTTAGGTCCTGTAGCTAGCTTAGGTCCTGTAGCTAGCTTAGGTCCTGGATCATTAGCCTGTCCGTCCGGAGGAGCGGATCCCTTTCTCATATGGGTCTCCCTCCCTGTGGGTTTCCCTAGTTCTCCTCCAAGGTTTCTCACTTTTTCCCACTGGGTTTTTTAAGAGTTGTTAAAAAACATGTCATTGTGTTGTTGTGTGTCTGCTCTGGATGTCATTGTGTTGATGTGTGTCTGCTCTGGATGTCATTGTGTTGTCGTGTGTCTGCTCTGGATGTCATTGTGTTGTTGTGTGTCTGCTCTGGATGTCATTGTGTTGTCGTGTGTCTGCTCTGGATGTCATTGTGTTGTTGTGTGTCTGCTCTGGATGTCATTGTGTTGTTGTATGTCTGCTCTGGATGTCATTGTGTTGTTGTATGTCTGCTCTGGATGTCATTGTGTTGTCGTGTGTCTGCTCTGGATGTCATTGTGTTGTTGTGTGTCTGCTCTGGATGTCATTGTGTTGTTGTGTGTCTGCTCTGGATGTCATTGTGTCGTGTGTCTGCTCTGGATGTCATTGTGTTGATGTGTGTCTGCTCTGGATGTCATTGTGTTGTCGTGTGTCTGCTCTGGATGTCATTGTGTTGATGTGTGTCTGCTCTGGATGTCATTGTGTTGTCGTGTGTCTGCTCTGGATGTCATTGTGTTGTTGTGTGTCTGCTCTGGATGTCATTGTGTTGTCGTGTGTCTGCTCTGGATGTCATTGTGTTGTTGTGTGTCTGCTCTGGATGTCATTGTGTTGTTGTATGTCTGCTCTGGATGTCATTGTGTTGTTGTATGTCTGCTCTGGATGTCATTGTGTTGTCGTGTGTCTGCTCTGGATGTCATTGTGTTGTTGTGTGTCTGCTCTGGATGTCATTGTGTTGTTGTGTGTCTGCTCTGGATGTCATTGTGTCGTGTGTCTGCTCTGGATGTCATTGTGTTGTTGTGTGTCTGCTCTGGATGTCATTGTGTTGTCGTGTGTCTGCTCTGGATGTCATTGTGTTGTTGTGTGTCTGCTCTGGATGTCATTGTGTTGTTGTATGTCTGCTCTGGATGTCATTGTGTTGTTGTATGTCTGCTCTGGATGTCATTGTGTTGTTGTATGTCTGCTCTGGATGTCATTGTGTTGTCGTGTGTCTGCTCTGGATGTCATTGTGTTGTTGTGTGTCTGCTCTGGATGTCATTGTGTTGTTGTGTGTCTGCTCTGGATGTCATTGTGTTGTTGTATGTCTGCTCTGGATGTCATTGTGTTGTTGTATGTCTGCTCTGGATGTCATTGTGTTGTTGTGTGTCTGCTCTGGATGTCATTGTGTTGTCATGTGTCTGCTCTGGATGTCATTGTGTTGATGTGTGTCTGCTCTGGATGTCATTGTGTTGTTGTGTGTCTGCTCTGGATGTCATTGTGTTGGCGTGTGTCTGCTCTGGATGTCATTGTGTTGTTGTGTGTCTGCTCTGGATGTCATTGTGTTGATGTGTGTCTGCTCTGGATGTCATTGTGTTGATGTGTGTCTGCTCTGGATGTCATTGTGTTGTTGTGTGTCTGCTCTGGATGTCATTGTGTTGTTGTGTGTCTGCTCTGGGTGTCATTGTGTTGTCGTGTGTCTGCTCTGGATGTCATTGTGTTGTTGTGTGTCTGCTCTGGATGTCATTGTGTTGTTGTGTGTCTGCTCTGGATGTCATTGTGTTGTTGTGTGTCTGCTCTGGATGTCATTGTGTTGATGTGTGTCTGCTCTGGATGTCATTGTGTTGTTGTGTGTCTGCTCTGGATGTCTTTGTGTTGTTGTGTGTCTGCTAAGGATGTCATTGTGTTGTCGTGTGTCTGCTCTGGATGTCATTGTGTTGTTGTGTGTCTGCTCTGGATGTCATTGTGTTGTCGTGTGTCTGCTCTGGATGTCATTGTGTTGTTGTGTGTCTGCTCTGGATGTCTTTGTGTTGTTGTGTGTCTGCTCTGGATGTCATTGTGTTGTTGTATGTCTGCTCTGGATGTCATTGTGTTGTGTGTCTGCTCTGGATGTCATTGTGTTGTCGTGTGTCTGCTCTGGATGTCATTGTGTTGTTGTGTGTCTGCTCTGGATGTCATTGTGTTGTCGTGTGTCTGCTCTGGATGTCATTGTGTTGTTGTGTGTCTGCTCTGGATGTCATTGTGTTGTCGTGTGTCTGCTCTGGATGTCATTGTGTTGTTGTATGTCTGCTCTGGATGTCATTGTGTTGTTGTGTGTCTGCTCTGGATGTCATTGTGTTGTCGTGTGTCTGCTCTGGATGTCATTGTGTTGTCGTGTGTCTGCTCTGGATGTCATTGTGTTGTCGTGTGTCTGCTCTGGATGTCATTGTGTTGTCGTGTGTCTGCTCTGGATGTCATTGTGTTGTTGTGTGTCTGCTCTGGGTGTCATTGTGTTGTCGTGTGTCTGCTCTGGATGTCATTGTGTTGTTGTGTGTCTGCTCTGGATGTCATTGTGTTGTTGTGTGTCTGCTCTGGATGTCATTGTGTTGTTGTGTGTCTGCTCTGGATGTCATTGTGTTGTTGTGTGTCTGCTCTGGATGTCATTGTGTTGTTGTGTGTCTGCTCTGGATGTCATTGTGTTGTTGTGTGTCTGCTCTGGATGTCATTGTGTTGTTGTGTGTCTGCTCTGGATGTCATTGTGTTGTTGTGTGTCTGCTCTGGATGTCATTGTGTTGTTGTGTGTCTGCTCTGGATGTCATTGTGTTGTTGTGTGTCTGCTCTGGATGTCATTGTGTTGTTGTGTGTCTGCTCTGGATGTCATTGTGTTGTCGTGTGTCTGCTCTGGATGTCATTGTGTTGTCGTGTGTCTGCTCTGGATGTCATTGTGTTGTCGTGTGTCTGCTCTGGATGTCATTGTGTTGTCGTGTGTCTGCTCTGGGTGTCATTGTGTTGTCGTGTGTCTGCTCTGGATGTCATTGTGTTGTTGTGTGTCTGCTCTGGATGTCATTGTGTTGTTGTGTGTCTGCTCTGGATGTCATTGTGTTGTTGTGTGTCTGCTCTGGATGTCATTGTGTTGTTGTGTGTCTGCTCTGGATGTCATTGTGTTGTTGTGTGTCTGCTCTGGATGTCATTGTGTTGTTGTGTGTCTGCTCTGGATGTCATTGTGTTGTTGTGTGTCTGCTCTGGATGTCATTGTGTTGTTGTGTGTCTGCTCTGGATGTCATTGTGTTGTTGTGTGTCTGCTCTGGATGTCATTGTGTTGTTGTGTGTCTGCTCTGGATGTCATTGTGTTGTTGTGTGTCTGCTCTGGATGTCATTGTGTTGTTGTGTGTCTGCTCTGGATGTCATTGTGTTGTTGTGTGTCTGCAGCATGTTTCAGCTGAGTGAAGTCATTTATCTGAATACGAAGTCCTCTTTGATGCTTCTGTAAAGGATGATGTCATGTTTTTGCGGCTGTAACCGTGGCGATGTTCACTGTTGTGGACCTGACGATGACTAATACGCTTTTATTCTATTGTAGTTTGATGTTGTTATAACACACCACTATATAATTTACAGTGGTGGTTTCTTTATAGTCTATAGTATAAAGGTTCTGTTCAGTATCGCGATATTTTGCACATTGATACAGTCGATACTAACGGCTTTTTAACCGAGCGCGAGGTCTGTATGGAGAAATATCAGACCGAGCCTTAATGCACAGACCGAGCCTTAATGCACAGACCGAGCCTTAATGTACAGACCGAGCCTTAATGCTCAGACCGAGCCTTAATGCTCAGACCGAGCCTTAATGCTCAGACCGAGCCTTAATGCTCAGACCGAGCCTTAATGCTCAGACCGAGCCTTAATGTACAGACCGAGCCTTAATGCTCAGACCGAGCCTTAATGCACAGACCGAGCCTTAATGCTCAGACCGAGCCTTAATGCTCAGACCGAGCCTTAATGCTCAGACCGAGCCTTAATGCTCAGACCGAGCCTTAATGCTCAGACCGAGCCTTAATGCTCAGACCGAGCCTTAATGTACAGACCGAGCCTTAATGCACAGACCGAGCCTTAATGCACAGACCGAGCCTTAATGTACAGACCGAGCCTTAATGCTCAGACCGAGCCTTAATGCTCAGACCGAGCCTTAATGCAGAGACCGAGCCTTAATGCACAGACCGAGCCTTAATGCACAGACCGAGCCTTAATGCACAGACCGAGCCTTAATGCACAGACCGAGCCTTAATGCACAGACCGAGCCTTAATGCACAGACCGAGCCTTAATGTACAGACCGAGCCTTAATGTACAGACCGAGCCTTAATGCTCAGACCGAGCCTTAATGCTCAGACCGAGCCTTAATGCTCAGACCGAGCCTTAATGCTCAGACCGAGCCTTAATGCTCAGACCGAGCCTTAATGCTCAGACCGA